TGGCTTTCATGAGCATGAATTACTTTTATTAATATAATTGAAACTGTAATGTAGAATTTTTTTAGGAGAAGGGATAGACTACCTTTGACCAGGCTCTCAGGCTTTCTTTATTAAGTAATCTGCCTTTAAGACGAAATTGGGGGAGGGCATTCAAAATAAAGATGGTCCCCTAGCTGTGATTTTTCAACTTGATGATGGTGCAAAAGTGATAAGCACTCAGTAGAAAGCGGCACAACACTCTCCCGTGATACTGGGCGGTGGTGTGAGCCATGGTTCCCAGTCAGCCAGCTGGTCATGAGGGTAAAGGGCCAATGCCCCCCAGTGTGCTGTGCTGCTCGGTGATGTTGTCCAGCTCTAGGCTGTGGAAGTGTTCTGAGTATACTGAAGGTGGGCTAAGCTCAGCTGTGATCCTCAGGAGGTTAGGTGGCTTCAGTGCATTTTCACTTGTGGTATTTCCAGCCCACCCTGCATTTATTTGGATGTAATCTCATTGTAAGTCAAGGAGCATCTGTACAATAAGCAGTCTGAGGGAAGGCACAGAGGAGAGGCTTTGGCCCCTGGAAAAAAATATCAGACCTCATACTGCCCAAAGTAATTTATAGATTCAATGCTGTCCCCATCAAACTGTCATTGACTTCTTCATAGAATTAGAAAAAACGACTTTAAATTTCATATGGAACCAAAAAAGAGCCTCTATAGCCAAGACAATCCTAAGCAAAAAGAAGAAAGCTGGGGGCATCACACCACCTGACTTCAAACTATACTACAAGGCTACAGTAACCAAAACAGCATGGTACTGGTACTAAAACAGAGATATAGACAAATGGAACAGAACAGAAATAACACCACACGTCTACAACCTTCTGATCTTTGACAAACCTGACAAAAACAAGCAATGGAGAAAGGATTCTCTATTTAATAAATGGTGTTGGGAAAACTGGCTAGCCAGATGCTGAAAACTGAAACTACCCCTTCCTTACACCTTACACAAAAATTAACTCAAGATAGATTAAAGACTTAAACATAAGACCTAAAACCATAAAAATCCTAGAAGAAGACCTAGGCAATACCATTCAGAACACAGGCATAGGCAAAGACTTCATGACTAAAACACCAAAAGCAATGGCAATAAAAGCCAAAATAGGCAAATGGGATCTAATTAAACTAAAGCACTTCTGCACAGCAAAAGAAGCAATAATCAGCATAAACAGGCAACCTACAGAATGGGAGAAAATTTTTACAATCTACCCATCTGACAAAGGGCTGATATCCAGAATCTACAAAGAACTAAAACAGATTTACAAGAAAAAACAACACCATCAAAAAATGGTGAAGGATATGAACAGACACTTCTCAAAAGAAGACATTTAAGCAGCCAACAAACAAATGAAAAAAAGCTCATCATCACCGGTCATTAGAGAAATGCAAATCAAATCCACAGTGAGATACCATCTCATGCCAGTTAGAGTGGCGATTACCAAAAAGTCAGGAAAAAACAGATGCTGGAGAGGATGTGGAGAAATAGGAACTTTTTTATACTGTTGGGAGTGTAAATTAGTTTAACCATCGTGGAAGATAGTGTGGCAATTCCTCAAGGATCTAGAACCAGAAATACCATTTGCCCCCAGCAATCCCATTACTGAGTATATACCCAAAGGATTATAAATCATTCTACTATAAAGATACATACACATGTATGTTTATTGCAGCACTGTTTACAATAGTAAAGACTTGGAACCCACTAAAATGCTCATCAATGATAGACTGGATAAAGAAAATGTGGCACATATACACCATGGAATACTATGCAGCCATAAAAAGGATGTTCATGTCTTTTGCAGGGACATGGATGAAGCTGGAAACCATCATTCTCAGCAAACTAACATAAGAACAGAAAACCGAATACCACATGTTCTCACTCATAAGCAGGTGTTGAACGATGAAAACACATGGACACAGAGAGAGGAACAGGCCTGTTGAGGGTGAGGGGCTAGGGGAGTGATAGCATTAAGAAAAATACCTAATGTAGATGACAGGTTGCTGGGTGCAGCAAACCACTATGGCACATATATACCTATGTAACAAACCTGCACGTACTGCATATGTATCCCAGAACTTAAAGTACAATAAGAAAGAAAAAAATGTCAGGCCTCAGCTGGTGGTGGCAGGTGCTATGGCTCGCTACGGCCTCAGGTCCATTGGCTTTACCTGATAGGTTTGTCTACAGCACCTGCAGACCTGCCAGGAGTAGGTGACACTCTTCGGAGACAGGGTGGTCCCTTAATAGTGATGCACATGGGAGGAGAAGCTGTAAGATGAGTTTAGGATATAGAGACTCCCCATAAACTTTTGGGGGTCCAGGTAAGAGTATAGTGTAGACCAGCTTTCATATATCCAAAGATTTGAAAGTTACAAATCAAGCTAACAAACTATTACTATGTAACACAAACTATTGCATAGAATGTTCTCTCCTTTTGCCTTGACAAATGTACCTTCCTGATATGGTGAAGGCCAAGCTTGAATTTAGAACCCATGGACCCCTCAGAGTTCCGCACTGGAATTTGGTGGGCTAGCTTCAGACCCTGGCCTCATTTAGCACTAGGAAGGGCCATGAGCACACATGTGTGAGCACTCAGCTCGCATGTCCAAGCTTCGCAGTGCCCCCCAGTCACCCCCGGTCACCTTCTGAGACCTATGGGTGTGCATACCAGTGACATGGTCCACCCGCACCATGGCCTTGGGCGTAGGCTCAGGGAACTGACCAGGGAACTCCAGGATCAGAATGCACAAAGCACGGTCCACCGTCCAGCAGCAGGGCATGTGTGGGGCTCAGGGGCCATGTTCCTTTAACCTGTGGACACATCATCATGGCTGGAGGTGAGCCAGAGCAGACTCCCTAATGTGTGGGCCACAGCACTGGCCACTCCAGACACCAGTTGAGGGACCTGGTGGGGTGAGCTTAGCCAGTGAAAACTGGGGGGAGTTGCTTTGGTGGTTTCCTAGAAGAGCCCTCCAGATGCCCAGGCACCTCCCCCACACCGGAGCTGGGTGTCTGTCCAACACCTCGTGCCTCAGGGTCATTCGGGTGTCACCGTCTCACGCTCCCGACACAGTGGAGAGCTTGTTTTCCTCGTCTTACATTCCCTGACTCTAATCCCCACCAGCCTGTGCCACTTGGCTGGCCTCCTTGGCAGAAAGGTGTCAAAAGGACATATCTCTGAAGAGTCAGATCCCTCAGCTGCAGGAACCCAGGCCATGTGAGCCAGCGGCTGAGGGTCCTATCTTGTTATTGATATGGTTTCCTTCCACCTCTTACAGCCAGGGTATTGGTGGGAGTCACTCAAAGCAGACTCATTAATCTTAATCTAAATACTCATTAAGCAGGAGCTATTACAGTCAAACAAGCCTCTTTGCTTCTCTCTAACGCTCATGCCCCTGTAACACTGCCCCCCTGCCCTGATCAGCCTTCCCTAGAGAACCTTACCTCCCAATGCTTCCTCACCTCCAGCCAGCTCACCTTCTCCACTGCACTCCTTGCCTGCTCCCAACATCTGCTCATCTGCACCTACCCAACTGTTTTTTTTTTTTTTTTGAGGCAGTCTTGCTCTCTTCCCCCAGGCTGTAGTGTAGTGGCACGATCTCAGCTCACTGCAACTTCCACCTACCGGGTTCAATTGATTCTCCTGCCTCAGCCTCCTGAATAGCTGGGATTGCAGGTGCCTGCCATCACACCTGGCTAATTTTTATATTTTTAGCAGAGATGAGGTTTCTTCATGTTGGCCAGGCTGGCCTCGAACTCCTGATCTTGGGTGATCCACCTACCTTGGCCTCCCAAAGTGCTGGGATTACAGGCTGAGCCACAGCACCCGGCCAACTGTTATTATTTCTGTCCAAATCCCTTTCGTCCTTCAAGGTGACTTGAGGTTTCACTTCCACAAAAGGTTCCCAACACTTCCATCAAGTCTCCTGCTTTATCACCTGTATTATTTACCAACTGGACCCCACATTTGGCCCATGGTTTCTGTCCATGTTAGTGCTTCCTACCACATAGCATTTTTATTCTTCCATTGTTACATAGAAATCACAGAACTAGAAGAGATCCTAAAGACTACCTACTCCCATCCTCATTTTCTGAAGACGAGGAAACTGAGAGAGAGGAACGTTTTGTAACTTGCCAGACTGAGCCCTTGGGGTTTGGCAGAGCTGGGCATTACACTCAGATGACACTCAACCCTCTTAGCCCAATCCAGGACTTACCCACAAGCCCCGGCTGCCTTTCTACATATAAGTCTGTGTCACCCATAGGACGCGGTGGTCAGGAAAGGGCAGTCTCGGGACATACTCAGCTGGGCAAATGGAGTCTTCCCATTTTCTGGCAGGACAAAGCCCAGAGAGGTGCATCCCATCTCTGTATGCTCTGTTTTTCACGTTCTTTGCATTTTACTAACCAGCACGCAAAAAAAGGCGACGGTCACCTAGATTTTCTCAGACCAGCCTCGATTCCCTGCTGTCTCCCCATGGTGAATTTCAGGAACTCTCTTTTCTTCAGAGGGAATAAGCCCAATTCCTGGTTCACCATGGCAGGGAGGCTGGCTCCTTTTGCTGCCAATCCCCATCATCCCTGGCATTTCCATTGTGGAAGTGCAGAGAGCTTCTTAGTGAGTTTCTCCTCAGACTTTCCCAGGGGCTGATGAGGAGCCCCAGGCAGGAGGCTGATGGACTAAACAAGCAACCAAGGAATAGCCAAACAGGCTGTAGGTCAGAGCCCATCTTTAACAAAGGTGGGATAAAGTGAAAACTAGAGGGCAGAAGGGTAGGGAGGGGCTGGGGATGACCTGTCCCAGGTAAGGCCCCTAAATGCTAAGTACATTCCCCAAGTCAAAATCAGCTGGAACAGGGCAGAGCAAACATTTTTTTTTCTCCAGCCCCCGCCCCCCCCCCGCCCCCCACGGTTGTCCTGCTCACTGCAAGGATGAAAAACAGAATAATGAGACACGTTGGAGAGTGTCACCCGAGCAGCTCCGGAAAGACGTGGGCAGACGCCTGGCTGGGCGGCTGAGTTTCTCTGTTTCTGGTAGAGATTTTATAAATATTCGGGAAGTTTGATCTGAGGCTGCTGGTGGGGAGGCAAGGAGAGCTGCAAAGGGGGGAGATAACTCAGCCCACGGGGGTTCTTGGACCTCTTTGAGGCCTGCTTTTCATTAGCGTTGCCAGGGCAACAGCTCATCTGCTGCAGATCTCATCAAGGCCCTGCAAAACATCCACGGCACATTACGCTTTTCGTTTCACAGTGAATCAGCTGCAATCAGTCTTCCTCCAGCTCCCCTTACCCCCATTACCTCCCAGCCTATGGAAGAGAAGATAATTAAAGATGGGGGTGGGTGTGACAAACTGCAATCAGAACTCTCTGAGGCTGGTGTGGAGAGGCAGAGCTGTGATAGTCCTGTTCCGGGGGCAGTGATTCGTCCTGAGGACTGTTCAAAGCTGGGCAGTCCTGAGCCCCGGGTAACCAGATGGACCTGTAGCAACTCCCCAGCTCGGTCTTCTTCCATGGTGCACCCCCCGCTCAATTCTTGTCTCCTCCCTGCCTGACCTGACCTTTCCCCTCCACACACCTTTATTTTTGACCAAGGCAAACATTTGCACAACTCCCAAAGAACAACCTCACCAGCCCTTGTGCCGATCGGTTCCAGATGCCCATGGATGTACAAGCCCATGTGTTTCTCTGGTTTTAACCAAGGTGTCCAGTGGATTCTAAAGGGTGATGTCACGGGAGGTAGGGGCAGGCCAGGGAGTAAAGGGAGACCCATGTTGGGCCCAAACGGGAGGGCCAGGTGTCATGATCAACACAGCCAGGTAGGTAATGTGCACAGAACATGTAACTTGGCTTCACAGACACTCCCATTCTCAGCATGTACCTCATGGAAATTCAGTTACCCCTTTAAAAGTTGGCATTTTCCATGGCCAGGGCACGGTGGTGGTGGTTCATGCCTGTAATCCCAGCACTTTGGGAAGCTGAGGCAGGTGGATCACCTGAGGTCAGGAGTTTGAAGCCAGCCTGGCCAACGTGGTGAAAACTCATCTCCACTAAAACTACAAAAATTAGCTGGGCATGGTGGTAGGCGCCTGTAATCCCAGCTACTTGGGAGGCTGCGGCAGGAGAATCACTTGAACCTGGGAGGTGGAGGTTGCAATGAGCCAAGATCACGCCATTGCACTCCTGCCTAGGCGACAAGAGCAAAACTCCATCTCAAAAAAAAAAAAAAAAAAAGTTGGCTCCTTCCAGCTTTCGAGCTCTGGGGGCTGGAAGCCAGGAATCCTGCTCTCTGCTATGTGTCAATATCCAGCACAGCGCCTGCACATAAGGGGCCCTCAGTAGTGTCTTGAAAGAAGGAACCCCTCTGTCAACGCAAAGGACAGGGAGAGTGGTCAGGGCACTGCAGAGGTTGGGGTTGGGTTTTCTGGTTGTCTTTCTAGCTTGTCTTTGTGCTGGAAAACAAACCTGAGCCCCAGCCTTTCCCAGCCCCTCCTTTCCGTGGAATGCAGATCACCCCAGCCCTTCTGAAAGATTTGTACGCAGAACCTTTGAGCAAGCCCTGGGAAAATGCAGAATCTCAGGTTGTAACTATGAACTGGAGAAGATCCCTCCCCCAGCTACAAATGGAGCAGAACCAGGAACCCGAGACAGCGGGGCTCACACAAAGCCAGACCCTTGCTTTCTTGCTTATTCTTACTTTTCCCACTGAGCTTGGCCCTGGAGGAGCAAACCCTAATTTCTCTGGTCTGAGCAGGAAATTCCCGTCAGCTTGTGGGAGAGGCCATATGAGAGAGATTTCATCACATCCATCCCCCCGAGATCCAGAACCATATTGAGTCCTACCCCAGCCCCGCAGAGCAGCTTCCTCCTCCATAGCTTCTGAGCGGCACTGAGGCAGGCCTCTGCCAGCCTTTGTTACCCAAGGCTAATGTTGGGTTTTTAACACTCAGCCAAGTCATAGGGAAGAGTAAGAGTTACAATAATTGGGTACATAGCATAGCTGACTGGGCTGCAGTGTGGTTTTTGGTCAGTTTTGGCATTCTGGTGGAAAAACTACATTGAAGGGGCAAAGAAATACCAGCCCAAATGGCAGGCAGAATGCATTTAAAAAGGCAGCAGGTATAGATCCTCGCCCCTCAAGGTGCAGGCCTGGAACCTTCTTACAGAAGCAGAATCTCAGGCCTGACTGAATCAGAGATTGGGTTTTAACAAGACGGCCAGCGGACACAGGCACATGGGAGTTTGAGGCAGCGTGAAGCACAGGAAAGAACGTGTGGGTGCTTTCATCTCCAGCCTTGTGGATTCTTTTTTTTTTTTTTTTGAGACGGAGTCTTGCTCTGTCGCCCAGGCTGGAGTGCAGTGGCTTGATCTCGGCTCACCGCAACCTCTGCCTCCCAGGTTCAAGCAATTCTCCTGCTACTCCTCCTGAGTAGCTAGGATTACAGATGCCCGCCACCACACTCAGCTAATTTTTGTATTTTTAGTAGAGATGGGGTTTCACCATGTTGGCCAGGCTGGCTTCAAACTCCTGACCTCAGGTGATCCACCCACCTCAGCCTCCCAAAGTGCTGGGATTATAGGTGTAAGCCACCACACCCAGCCCAGCCTTGTGGATTCTAATGCCAGCTTTGTCACTTAGTAATACGTGACTTTAGGTAAGTTAAGCTCCCTCTCTGAGCTTCAGCTTCCTCCCCTTTACAGCAGAGATAATCTAACCTATTATAAAGGGCTGATGTGGGGCTTGGCCTGGTACCAGAAGGCTCCTACCCTAGTCAATGTTAGAGGCACAGAGATGATTTCTCAGGGAACATCAAAATCCTTTATTTCCCAGGAGATCCAGCTTCAGTCCGTCCTCTTGCCATTTCAGTTTTTTTTTCTGGGGGACTTACAGTCCCCTGACCATGAATCCCAGAGCCAACAGTGGTAGCTTTTCATTCCAGCTACCCACATGTGAAATAAAGATCCACAGTGCCCCTAGAGGGACCAAGCTGTCTCATGTAGAACAGATCACTGTGAGTGAAGGAACTGAATGAATGTGGTCTGGCGAGGTCAGGTCTGGGGACAGGGGCGTTCCAGGAAGAGGAGATACAACATGTAACTTTCATAATGGATAAATAGCCCCTTGGCGGTTCCCCACAAGCAAGTAGTATCGAGTCTGGATTTCATTTCTTTCGCTGTCTGTGAGTTTCCTTGAGAGACAGTAGGATTCTCTCGTTGTCCTGGGGGTTGGAGTTTTAACCGGCTTTCCTTTGTTTGGGGTTGGTGTGTTCCGTCACTACAGTGCCTCCTGCTTTCCAAGCTCATGTAAGGGAACACAGGGATGGACAAACCACGAGGGTCTGCAGGGACCTTGACGTCTCCATAAATGCTGCACTGATTTTGCAAAGCTGCTTTTCAAGTTTTGTAGAGGAAAGGAGGGAGGGTTAGCTCCTGGGTACTGACTGGGTGACCTGGGGTGAGTCTCTTAACCTCTCTAAACCTCAGTTTCCTCCTGGGATAATAATGCTAAGATGAGAATCTCCTTGAAGACAGCCATGCATGTCTCCATCCATTCTGGGGATGACAGAATTACTGGCAGATTAAAATAAGTGATACTTACAAGGAACATGGTACAGAGACTGGAATATGGTAGCTGCCATTTTTGTAGTCTTTAGAAGAGGTGAACCTTGAACAGCTGGCCTCTGCTGAAAATTACAAACGAGAGAGTGGCCTACACTTGCAAACAGCAAGCATAGCCACCTATTCCTGTGCAGGTCAGCAAGAGACCCTCCCTCCCCCGCCTTCACTTTTTCTTTCTTTAGCTACAGGAGTTGAGACATGTGGCTCACCAGGCTGCCTCAGTGAGTTAAAGCTTTAAATAAACACACACTGAAAACTGCTATTACATCCCTGCCCCCTTGACTGCCACAGGCCCCTCCTGACCTGGGGACGTCTCTTCCTCCCTCTCCCTTTCTCTGCTGCTGGAAGCCAGGCCTTGGCTGAGTGCTGGAGAAGGTATCTCCTCTGCATGTATGCTGGTCCCAGGGGCCCTGCACAGGGCAGATGAGGGTACTCCTGATCCCGTACAGATTCTCCTCTTCCTGGGTTTGTTAGAAGCCTGACCAGGCCCCTAGTCTTATGACTTCAACAGATGTTTCTGCTTAAGGAGCCCTGGCATCTTTATAGCCTGTTTTTTCCATTCTTGCCTCTCTCTTCCTCTGTCTCAGCAGCCCTGAATGCAATTTGGACTTTATTTTCTTTCTAATGGCTACGGGGATAGAAAGGGCTTTTTTCCGCCCCCTTTTTCAGTTTTTGGCTTTTTTGTTAGCTCATCAAGCTGGGTATGTCTGTGTTAGCTCACACAGACATATATACACACACGACACACACATTCCATATGCATTCAGGTCTGTACCTGTGGTGTGTATTTCTTAATGTTGCACTGACATTTATTGCCACTTCAGACCCAGCCCATTTCAAAGCCTTCCTCCCTGCCTTCACCCCAAGCCTCACATTCATCCTCTGCCTAGCCTCACACAGGTCTCCCTGAGCAGCCGATTGGGGTGTCACCCAGATGCTGATTCTAAAAATTAGTGCTGGCCTCGGTCTCCAGCAAGATGTGAAGAGCCTCACTAACTCATCAGTCCGGCTCTGTGCTTCCAAGGAGGTTTGGGCTGACTGATGGAGTGAGCGCTGAGACTGCAATTGCCATGCATCTCCTCGAGCTCTGCCTGGACAGCCAGTCTACCCAGGCTCAGGGGGCCAGGTTGACAATTGTTAAAAAAATAGAACCAGTTTTTCATGAGCAGGCTTGAAACCAGTCTGGCTACCTCCTGGATCTACACCTGTTTTTAACTCCCCCCAGCTTGCCAGCATGGCAGGGTGTTCCAGTTACCTCCCCAGCAGCCTTGGGGGTTACCTGTCCCATCAGTCTGGTTCTCAGAGCAAAGAAACCTGGCAATGTCAGGTTTTCAGCTTTTAGTCTATCTACAGCAAAGATGCCTGGGGCTGGGGCCTCTTTATTACCTCCTAAGCCTGAGGACTGGAACTGAACTTCTCACTGAGGGTATAAATAGATCTGGAATCTTAAATGTTGACACCACCTGGCTGTCTTACCTGGGGTTAGACCCATTACCCACAAGGGGCCATCCAACCTCAAATTCTCTGTGTCTCTGCAGCCCTTCTTTCTAGGAGGGTGATGATGCTGACTTACCTCTTATGGCATTTTCCATAATTCAGCTAAGTGTCCACTACTCTATCTGCCCATGATCCTCCCAATGCTGACCATGGGTGGTGGGGCAGAGTGGCATCTCTAGAATGTCCCTCTTCAACACCCTCACCATGGAGAGGCCTTTCTAGATGGCCCCATGAAGTTCTCACTAGGTGACTGCCCCTACCTGAGATGGGTCAGGCAGCCATGGTCCCCTCCCCTCCACTCCCTACCCCACCAGCCCAATCTCATTCTGATGGTTTGGCCTTGTGAATTTCACCAGTGACTTGTCTCTTCCCTCTTCCTATTTAAACAAAACTCCGGTTCTTCTTAGTTCATGTTTTGGGTGGCTGAGGTAGAGCATCTTTCCCATAGTGGGCTAAGGGAGGCTAGTCAGGTAAGACGGCAACACTAGAGTGAGTTGGGTCCCCAGTGGCATAGTAACACACACAAGGACAGTAGGAAATGGAAGCTGGAAGAAGTCCCACAAGTAGGAGCAAGAAGAGTGATGTGTCCTCCATGCTGAGTTCTGCCAGGGACGCTGGACACACTGAACAACAGCCATGCTAGAGACTTGAGGACACCTCTTATTTGCTATACTTGTCACATGTTCGTTAATAAAGACAAAGAGGAGAGCCACCTCATTGGCTTTTCCATCTGTAAATAAATCCCTCTGACTATACACCTCCAACATGGATGCTCTGGATGTTTCTCAAGAAACAACCATATGATGATATCATAATCTATATCCTTCCAATGATTAAAATGAAATCAACTTGAGGAGCCCTGGGTGTCTGATGTCTTCTTCACTGGGCATTTGCACCTTGCCAGAGCCAGGGCCCCTGTGTGTGTATGGCAGGTGGGGTGTAGGAGTTGCTTCTTTTCATTTAAGTGAATGAAAATGAAAGGTTCCCCACAACCAGCTGCAACAAGGATCTCTCACCCTGTTGCTAAGGAGTGGTGGGGTCCTGCTACCATGTGGTGCTCTGGCAGGCCTGGAGAGATCTCTAGGGATCTGGAGTAGCCACTGGACTTGCAGTCCTGAGCCGCTGGGATGTGGAAGTGATTGGCTGGCCACCTGGATGAGCCACACAGTCCTGCTGTCACTCCTCTTGTCTCCTTTCACTTCTGGATCCTGCTGGAGGAATGGAGAGCTGGGAAACTGCCTCACCACCTAGTACTGTGTGGAGTTGGGCACACACTCAGGAGGCAGGTGGCTTCCAGGTGGTCAGAGAGAAGCTCACACTCCCTGTCCTCTGATGGTCCTGTTCCCTGAAGGATCTGGTCAAGCCATTCCTTCCAGATGGCTGTGATATTATTGTGTCCCCTCAGTATCAGAAGGGAGAGAATGGATGCTTTCCATGGATACAAGCTCCTAAACCTCCTCCCCTGAAGCAGGAGGCCTGCTTTCATGGGCTGATGGGGAATGGCTAAGCCCCAGATGTCTTAATTTTGCACCATAAATGTGAGCAGGGAGGTGCAAAGGTGTATGCAATGACTGTATGTGTGTGTGTGTGTGTGTGTGTGTGTGTGTATCAAAGAGAGGAGTCTGTCACAGGAATACTGAGTGGCCCCAAATGTTGTAAGCATATGCACCCTGGTTTTAAAATAACAATCATACCACTGGTAAATTTTGCTATCATTTGTTGAGATCTTTTTCTGTGCCAGGCACCCTACTTCACACATACTATCTCATAATTCTCAAAATCTCTGTGAGGTACAAGTATCACTATGCAACTTTTCAAATGGGAAAACATGCACAGGAAAAAAGTTGGTTCAAGTGCCAAAGATCTTAGATCTGAGAAGTGGCAGGGCCAGGATTAGAATCCTAGAGCTCAAAGTTCTTCTGCCCATATATAACGCAAGTGACCGCTACATCAATAATGGTAACTGCCAACCCTCACTGTTCACTGGCCACATGCTAGACACATAGATTCACTTAATTCATTCTCACAAAACTCTGGATATATTCTTATTGCCTCATTGTATAGATAGGGAAACTGAGGCCCAGAGCATTTTGGCATTGATCCCTTTCAGCAAATGTGATTTGAACAGCTCCTATGGGTGTGCAGGGTACCATGTTCTTGGCTCTGCATGGGATACAGAACTGAGTGAGACGTCATTCTTATTGTCTAGGCTCTATCAGCAAGGTCCATAGCCATGGCCATCAGAATGGACTCAAGGTGGGATACCAGAACTTGAAACAAGGGATGGTAGGAATCCTGCATCATAGGGTATCCTAGAAAGAGGAACACACCAGGTCTCTAGAGAAGGAATCTAGGCACAGAAGCAAGACAGAATCCTGTTGTCAGACTGAGGCCCCAAGTCAGAACTGTGCCAGCAGCAAGGGCTGGCAGAACTGGAACCATTTTATTCCCACCCACAGCATGGCCTTGAGGGCAGGACTCCAGAGCTATGCTGCTATTCAGATTTTCTATTCTTTAGCTGTGGGACCTTGGGCAAGTTAATGAACCTCTCTGGGTTTCAGGAGTCTCATCTAGAAAACTGGGATAGTAACTGCCCACTTCATGGAATTGTTCTAAGGACTAAATTGTTCTAAGGACTAATTGTTCTAAGGACTTAATACATGAGAGCCCCTTGGAACAGGGCCGGGCCCACGGAGGGCTCTCTAGCTCTCACCAGCCGATGATCACTGGGCCCTTTGATGCTAAGGGGGCAGAAGCTGCAGGTAGGGGTCAAGTTGTCATTGTAGCAGAGAGAAGAAAATAGTAGTAGGAACCGATCAGGGCCTGTCTCTAGAGGTTTGATGGGGAGGGAGACATGAAATCCAATGGGACAAGAGGGAATTCACATCATTAGTGTAAAAGGTTGGAAAATGGGCATGGGGCCCTTCCTTCTTAGTTTCCAGAGGCCAAGATGCAGGTGCCTGGCACCTGGGCTGGCTGGAAGTGGAGAATGTATCAGGGCTGGCATTTATAGTGATGCCACTATTTTCTCATTATGGGCATGAAGAGAGGCTGTCACTATCTGTGCAGCTCCTCAACCACCCAAGGAAGAAATATTGATCTCTTCCCAGCATTCCCTCTGTCAACTTCCCCAGCCTGTCTCTGGCTAAGAAGAAAGATGACTGGGGAGGGGGATGGAAGGCAGCCATGCTCTGATGCAGTAACTCTTTCCTAGAAGAGGACACAGCTGAGCTCATCAGCCAGCACCAGATCAGCTCAGAAAGATCCTTTCCAACTCCCAGAAGACCCCTCTGTGGCTTGGGAAAGGAATGGCCCACGGGGGCACTTTGTTTATGTGGGCCTGTCAGGCTGGGCAGGGGTGTCTCATGACACATGAGGGCAGCTGAAAAGAGAGGTGGGACAGAAATGTTTGCCTAAGGGCAATCTTGTGATTCCTCCTGCCCCCCACCCCTGCAGGCTTTTGAGAGCTTGTTCCAGGACTTTTCATACACATTTGAGACCACAGTTTCCTCTCCCAGAAACCCCATTAAACTATGAGTGAGTGAGGCGGTGGGGGAAAGAAAGGAAA